AATTGAAGCATTACCCGTTGTGCAAATAAATCAGTGCGTACTCAGTAAACTACCATCTTCTCAAGTGAAAAAGGATCAAGCTGTCCCTCTTTCAAAAAGTATTAAAATTCAACTAACAAAAGCAACTTCTAAATTCTTTCAAATTAAGTCTCTTTTAAAGGTTGATGGGGAACACTATCGAAATACCGAAGAACAAGATAACGAAGTATCATATATAGGTAAACTATTGATTTTTTGTCGTTGTTTGATTATATATATATATATATATATATATATATATATATATATATATATATATATATATATATATATATATCAGGGGTGTACCCTTATTGTCGTCTGGTGGCATGGGATGACTCGTTTTCTCAAAGAGCAACTGATGTTTAAAATAAATTCCCTGTCAATAGCCCAGCAGGACGACCAGACAGATTTTTACTTACAAAAGAGTATTTATTAATAAAATCACATATTGATTTTATTCCTTTGGATTATTTAAAAGGAACTTTTAAAAAGCATTTATAATTTTGTCAAACAAAGTTAACGTAATAAAAAACATTAGAATGTGCATGAAAAAACATTAGAATACACTTAATGATACATATGGAAATTATTTTTATCTAACAAAAAAACAAGTCTTGAAAAAAACATACTTGACTACTGACTATCAAGTAAGAAAAAAAAAGTTTTCAGTCACCTGCAGGGCAACGGTGATAAAATTGTGTATGTGTGTGTATATATATATATACACACATACACACACTACTGTTCAAAATTATTCCAATGGTCTTAATCAATGGTCCTTTTCAATATAAGATATCAAAGTTTTCCTTACTATTGGGAGAAAAACTGAAAACAAAATCTGAATTAATTTGATCTTCCTATTTTTGGATCTTTCCTATTTAAAGGTTTACAAAAAAGTTACTATGAAGTTCTTATTAGATTAGTGTATAATTTACTTACCTTTTTTTTATTTTGTTTTTTTGTTTTTGGACATCTTTACTTCTAACGAGGCTGCACGCAACCACTATTAGAGTTGGAAGTTACTGGAAGAAAAAAGATGAATTTATAGAGCAAGATAACGATTGACAGACAACTTCAAAGATTATATGAATTTAAAAAAATTATCAAAAATTAATCAAAAATTATATGAATCAGAATAACAAGATGAAGGAAGCGAATTCCAAAGAACTGATATACAAGAAAAAAAACTAGACAAATAAGAATCTTTGGAGCAAGTTCTACCCTAAGGATAGAACCTTGAGGAACCCCTGAAATTACAGGATATGAAGAATAGTGCTGTCCATTGAGCACAACTTTAAAGATAAAAAGATTTAAAGATTCTTCAGAAGTTAAAGATTCTTCAGAAGTCATGAGAACCTATTTTTTGAGAAAAATACCTAAGAATATAGCATTAGACAAAACCTCTTTACAATGGTTTCTAGCAAAAGTAAATAGACATCTGTTTTCTAGAGAATTGTTTTGTTAATAGATAAGAAAGTAATGGTTTCAATTGGAAGTTGCAGCAGCACAATGAAAGGAAAATCAAGGAGGTGAGTGAGGCTTGACTTGAAATTGTTGAGAGAGAATAAAAGATTCCATGCCAGCCTGAATCCAAGAAGTTTTGTAGGAAGCACATTTGTTTGTAAGAAGGCGACAGATTCCTACCCAAGGGCTATCATGAAGAAAATCATGGAAAGAGTCCCAAACAGCTTTAAGGTAGTTGTAAGAAGTATGATGATAGGGGGATTCTGATGATGAAAAAGAATGATATATATATATATATATATATATATATATATATATATATATATATATATATATATATATATATATATATATATATATATATATATATATATATATATATATATACATCATTCTTCTTTATATATATACATATATATATCTGTCAACTGTTTCCTTGCTCTATAACTCTATTCTTGTTTTCTAGTAATTCCCAACTTAATAGTGGTTATTGGTCTTATTGCTTAACATAATACCATAATATACAGTCTTATTGGGAGTGAATCAGAATAAAAATAAATAAATGCGGAAATAATAAGTTATAATAGTAATCTTTGTTATTTCAACACTTGATGGAATATTTTGTAAAATTACTAAATTGAAACATTCTGGAAACTGCTGCCAGATAATTTCTGTACATAATGCAAATTTAACTTTTGCAAAACAATTATTTAAGTAACAAATAAAATTAAATGAATATAATAAGAAAAGAAAAAAACAAAAAATGAAAATGAAAAGCATTAAATTGTTGCAATAAATAAAATTTTTATTAAAATAGAATTTGAATTATAACAATTCAACTCTCAAATTAGAGTTAGAACTTGCGAGCAAATAACTGTTTCTTGTTTTTTCCTTTAGTGTTTTTTTACATTTTCAAGATTGTAGTCAACCATATTCCTAAAAAAGAAAATATGAGCTTTAACATTAATCATAATTAAAGTATGCAGAAAAGTATTGAATATATTTAAGATACAGAAAATATTAGACACAGAAAATATTATATTTGTAATGTTGCTTATTTATATTTATAATTTTGTTTATATAATGTTATTATATTATATTTGTGATGATGTATCTTACTGGGATGGATAAATTTGCATTAATTGAAAATTGTGTTTAAATAACTGTTTTACCTTTGAATGAAATCTAATGATGTAAAAATGTTATAATCGTACTCTGTGTTCATTACATAATGAATTGCAAATAGAACCATTACAGCTGAAAGAGAATCAGTGAATGTATATGAAATTTTTTTGTTGGTCAATACATAAAAATGTTTTGATTGAAACCAAATGCCTTTCAAAAAAAAAAAAAAAATTCAAAATTATATGAATGTTATTTGTTTAATTTTCAATGTACTCAAACTATAATTTAATAAACCCAATAAAAACTACCTTTTACAAAAATTATTGGATGAGAAATTGGCTGAAGTCTGACAAAAAATTAAGAATTTAAATTTCATCATCATTTTAAAAAAACATTATTTTTTGAATGAAAATTAACATTTAATGATAATATTATATGTTCAGCTCTAAATCTCCAAAATAAGCTATAAATGCCATGCCCAACAAAGTACTCTATGAATGCCTCCATAGTCCTTATTATGGAGGCATTCACTTTTTGCTTTAAGTAGAATTTCCTTTTATTGTATCTCATAAGCTAATCACCATCTTTTATTGGCCAAGGCTGGTTTCTAAATAACTGTTGTTATTTAGAAACCAGCCTTGATATAGGCTGGTTTCTAAATAACAACAGTTATTTAGAAACTATAGAAATTAAAAATAATTAATTTTGAGTTCTATCAAAACTGCAAGAAACTTTAAACTGTGTTGAGTTAAACAACTTTTACCATTTGGTAAGTCTGAAACATTTTGGTCCCAGTTATGTATACTGTATACATTTAGTTTCATTTTCTTAGATTTTCATGATGACAATGGAACTTTTTCATTTGCGTTTTTTTTCCTTGCTTCCATTCGAACTATTAACATTTTAACTTCATTGCTGACATCAAGGTTTGAAAGCATCAAGGTTTAAAAAAAAAGTCAGAGAATTTAGTATTTGCTTTTCTGCCAATTTTATGCTAAATGTTCGATTTGTTAAACTTTTAAATTTTTTTTAGATTCAAAATTTTGTGCCAAACTGATGTTGACCTATAATGGTTTTAGGTCGGCAATTTTTTGTTGACCTTATTTATCCTAATTCCATGGGCTGTATATATATATATATATATATATATATATATATATATATATATATATATATATATATATATATATATATATATATATATATATATACATACAGCCATATATATATATATATATATATATATATATATATATATACATACAGCCATATATATATATATATATATATATATATATATATATATATATATATATATATATATATATATATATATATATATATATATATATACAGCCATATATATATACAGCCATATATATATATATATATATATATATATATATATATATATATATATATATATATATATATATATATATATATATATATGCCTTAAGTTAGCATCGTGTTTAAAGAATTTGTGTTATGTTAATAACAAAACATTAAATAATGTTAATTCTTTTAATACAAATAATAATTTTATTTTATTTTACCATATATATATATATATATATATATATATATATATATATATATATATATATATATATATATTAGGGTATTACTACTTTGTATTTTATTTATATTTAGTTTAGGTGTTTTAATGTATTATCTTTACTTTGAAATTAATAAGAAAATGATATTAAGTCGATTTATCTAAAAATTAAAAATATTTTTGCTTATCTTATTTGGACATTGAACAAAGCTGCATAGAGCAAATTTAGAAACTTTGTAGGGTGTTGAACAAAATATCAGGATAATTAACAAAGCAACATCACATTTAACATATAATTTTGTTTGCTATAACAATTTTATAAAATGAAGTAGCATAAAAACATTAATTGAAAAAAAAACCAAACACAAATTTGAAGAACTATATTATTATCATAATATTATCTATGGTTTCATAGTCTTATAAGCAGTCTTTGTTTTTTTTCTTTTCTTTTATGGGTCTTTTTGTTTTTAAAATCAATTTGTAGTATTGTTTGTCTATTTCATAGGAAATATACTTGAGCATTATGGCTAAATTTCTTATTTTTATTTTCCAATAAAAAAAAAGAAATTTAGTGACAGTTAAAGCCATATTCTTTGGCAATTGCATTAAAGCAGACTTTGGTTTTCTGTATTTTGTAATAATAAAGTCTTCATTAAAATAAGTCTTCATTAAAAGATGTTCTAAAATTGGCTTTCAAAATTTTATTTTCATTGTACGCAATTTGTTTTATTTTTGTGTGAAGAATTTTAGAAAAAAAATAAGTTTTTTGATAGTCTAGAAAAATTGAACCATCTGCAGTATCTTAAAATTACTTGACTTTGTAGTCATATTTTTTAATATTTTTATCAGATGAATTGGACTTTATATTTCTATAAATTTTTTTAATGTAATGCACTATAACACTGTTTATTGCAACAATCTCTTATAAGTTACCATGTTCTATAATTGCTAAACTCATTTTTGAACTTTCATTTTGTGGAACGCAACTGTCCAACCAAAGAATAATTTTATTAATATAGTGAATGTATTTTACATTTTTTTTACAACTTCACTTAAATAAACATTTGCACATGCATTAATATAAGATATTGCTCTGTTCAATACTTGCATTTTAGAGATGTAGGTCTTGAGGCCAAAGTCTTGGTCTCGAGATGCCTTGGGGCTCATTAACTATGTTGCTCATTAGCAACATAGTTAATGACAACAACAACAACAAGACTACAACCATTGTTGTAGTCTTGGTCTTGAAAGTCTAGAGTATTGGTTTTGGTCTCGGTCGCAGACCCCTATTGTCCTTTACTTTCTTGATTCTATATATATATATATATATATATATATATATATATATATATATATATATATATATATATATATATATATATATATATATATATATATATATATATATATATATATATAGAAATCATTGTGACACACAGTTTTAGTAGTCATGAAAATATGAAGATGGAAGAGAGTTCCAAAGCATTGATGTGTGAGGAAAAAAACTAGATAAAAGTTTTTAGTGCATGAAGGGATGCATAAATAAATTTAGTTAACTTTGAAAATTAGAAAATGGTTGCTTGTCATTGATAAATGTTGTTTTAGTTATATTTTTGTTAATTTTTTTTTATAATCTGATTGTTTTCATTTACTCTTTTGCTAGTTAGTTCATACTATTTTTTGTTATGTTATGTATATACATTTTGTTATGCAATAGTTAATTTGTTTTGTTCAGGTAAAGACTTCATTTTCAGTGTAAATAAAATTATACAAAATGTTCGTAAATTTTAGGAAATAATGAAAGTTTATCTGAATCTCATGATGATGAACAGCCTATCCCTCCTCCTCGTCTTAAAAGAAAAGCTAAGAAATCAAAAAAAGCAAAAGAAAAAGAAAGAAAAGCGCAAGAAGAAAAAAAAGATGACTTAGCATGGTTTTCAACTTCAACAAAGTTCAATGTTCCTCCATTGCCGACATTGACAGGTTTTTTTATAAATTTATTATATTTTCAAGTTTTTGAATTTAAGCATGAAATTTAAGTACCAATTTAAGAACCAATTTAAGTACCAAAATAGAAAAGTCTGTATGCAGGGGGAGGGGAAAAGTAAATTGATATTTTTAGAAGTCTGAGGATATCCAAATAATTATAATTATGTTAATGCATAATGAATTCTAATATAAAAAAAATAAAAAAACAGTTAAATTCAAAAAATTTTTGTCATTATTTTTTTCTTTATCTAGTAACACTTGACTTAAATTTTTAAATAAACTGTATTAAAGAAATGAGAATACATATGCTGTATTTTGAAAAAGAAGTTAATTTAAAATTAATTTCAATTAATTATTCTTATTATTCTTAATTAAATTAAACTTAAGTATAAAAACAATAATTATAGAACTAAAGCAACCAATCAGAGTCAGATCATATAAAGATGGATCAGAGGACACTTGAACAATTAAAGTTAAATCAGAAGACACTGAAACAGTTACAGTTATGTCAAAAGACACTGAAACAGTTACAGTTATGTCAAAAGACACTGAAACAGTTACAGTTATGTCAAAAGACACTGAAACAGTTAAAGTTAAGTCAAAAGACACTGAAACAGTTAAAGTTAGGTCAGAAGACAATGAAACAACTAAAGTTAGGTCAGAAGACACACCGAAACAACATAAAACAAAGGAGTGAAAACAAAGAATATAAAAATGACAACAAACAACTTATCAAAAACAGAAAAACAAAAACAAAACAAACCAAAAAAATATGAAAAAAAAAAAAATAAACTTGTAAAATAAATTAAATATAAAATAATATAAATATTTTTAAAAATGTTAATAATACAATTAACAAGTACAACTTTTACATGATTTATGTGATCAAGTACCATTAATTTACTCTATTTAATTAGTACCACAAATCATAACATCGTCAGGGATAGTGCAATAATGTGTAACCAGTATTGGCTGCTATATTTGGATATAATTGGATATTAATAATTTTATCACCAAATATCTATTGTTGACATTACAAAAAACATAAAAATACTCTTAATACTAAAATGAGCCCAAAATCTGTTGAAATAAAAAAAAATAAAGTTTAAATCTTCTCCATACCTATTCTTCTCCAGTTCCTCTTCTATATTCCTATACCTTCTCCAGTAAAAAATCTGTAGTGCAGATATGAAGTATTATCCAATGCTAGTTACGGTGCTTTGCGCTCTCCCTAACAATTTAATATTGCTGTAATATTTTTAGGATTTTTCTAGACTTTTCCTTCAGCTGCTTCAACATTTTTTGTTTATATTTTAGACAGCAAAGACCTTTCTCCTTCTGTTGCATCATTTGAAGAATTGCAAGGAGTTATAAACTTTTTATCAGGATCTAGCTCTAGTAGCTTAACAATCGAGAAATGTGAGAAACGACATCCTGTACGAACTATTAGCTCTACAAGTCTACAAAATGATTTTACACGAACTATTAGCTCTACGAGTCTACAAAATGACCATAAAAATAATAAAAATGTTCCTGAAGGTAAAAAAAAGTTAACTCATAAAAGATCAGCAAGTTTTTCTGGAAATGCTAATGACTTGAAAGAAGTAGAAACACTAAAGGTAGAACATGAAAGTTTAAAGACTCCAAGTGTTGATGATATTCAGCATATTAGAGTATCCTCAGTTGCTGTTGATGCACCATTAAATAACTTTGCTGAAGCAATATCTAATGTTCTTAAAACCGAGCGTACACCTGGTGATGGTATGGATCAGAGAGACAAAAATACTTCTTCAGCAAATGTTAGCCAAACTGCAGATTCTTTAACAGTTATGTTAAGTGATACAAACTCTTCATCTAAAGTTTTAAATTCAGCTGTGCATAACTCAGTTGTTCAAGATAGTAATCAGTCAGTTATTCAAGATAGTAAAGGTTGTGAAAATCTAGTTGATGAAAATTCTTCAGTACAAAGTGATGCAACAAGCCCATTGCCAGATTGGTATGATCAAGATCTTTCTAATAATTCTCTTACACAGGATGCAATTAGTAATGAAACCTTGTCTTTGTTACCAACTTTTAAGAGCACTGCTCCTTCAACCTCTAAGTTAACTATAAATATAGATGATACAGATAAAACAATTAACTTAAAAGTAGGAGAACAAGTCCCAAAAACAACTCATGTAAATAAAGAATTTCAAAAAAACAATATTAAATCCTCTATAAATTGCAACCAATTTGAAGATGTGCATGAAAATCCAGTATATCCGATATCTGGTGGCGTTTCTCCTTCATTTTTTCAAAACGAATCTGTTTTTTCTGAGACATATCAACCATTTAACTCCAATACTTCATGGTCTATGGGTCTGCAAAATACTGGATTAAGTTCACTATGGTCTGATGCTACATTAGATAAAGAGAAGGTTGTTTTTCTTTCTAGTTTCACTTTTTTTTTTTTAGGTTATATATTTCAGCCTAAATAATTAATTTTTTTGTTTTCTGTAATCTATCTGGTTTAGCTATGGTCAGATCTACTACAGTAAAAAAAGTTTTCATTATTTTACTTTTTTTTTCTTTTTCAGGATTAAAAAAAAAATAAAGTTTTTAAGTTATATTTTGCACATCTGTATATAAGTTATATTTTTATATTTTATATACTTTAAGTATGCGATATATAAACAACACATATTAGTGCTACAATATGTAGTGGTAAGTAGTAGTATTTAAGAAACTTTAGTTATAGAAAAAAAAAAAAAAAAAAAAAAGTTTGAAAAAGTCGAAAAAAATAATGGAAAAACAAATTTAAAATTATTTAGTATGAAAAAGTGGAAAAAAATACTGGAAAAAAAAATTTAAAATTATTTTTATTTTACATACTGATTTCCTAACTATAAACCCTCAATTGATGTTATCTTTATATAAATAAATACAAAGCCTCAGTTGACAAGCCACAGTCCCCAAAATGTTGACCAAGCTGTATTTCGCTATTAATATTTTGTGGCCAATCCTTTGTTGTCGATCACACCCTTGCATCATCGAAGCATAGATTCAATCAGGTGATCTATGAAACTTTGTGGAATCGCTGCCCAGGCTTTTTAGATTTGTTAAAACAGTTGATCCTTATTACGAACACCTTCACGATTAATTCTGCGGTTGAACATCTCCCACAGGTTCTCGATAGGGTTGAGATCCGGATATTGAGGCGGCCAATCCATCACCGAAAGGTGGTTGTCTTGAAACCACTACTTGACTACTTTTGCAGTGTGTTTCGGATTGTTGTCTTGCTGAAAAACCCATTTTATTGGCATATTCCATTCAGCATGAGGTAACATAGCATCTTTCAGGAGATTTTTATACATGAAATGGTTCATTATTCCATTGATTCGATGTATTGGACCTAGACCATTAGCAGAAAAATGCCCCCAGATTATTACATTGCCTCCACCATGCTTCACGGTCTTATGGCAGTAACGTAAATCGAGGCGTTTTCTGGCCGGTCGAGGTACACGGCAAATGCCATTGCTCCCAATGATGTTGAACTTCGATTCATCACTGAACAGGACAGTTCGCCATTTCTGCACATTCCAGTCAATATGAAATGTAGCAAACAGAAGTCTTTTCTTCTGGTTCTTTAGTGGAATCAGCGGTTTCTTTGCAGGGTGTCAAGAAAACAATGCGGCTTCAACAGCACGTTGTCTGATTGTTTGGTCCGATACAAGCAGCTCTAATTGCTTTTGTATCTCGACTGATGATATCCAGGGATCCTTCTTGACGGATCTGACGATCATAGAATCCTCTCTAGAAGTGGTGGAATGCAGTCTTCCACCTTTGTTATCTGTTGCCAACTTCCCCATAGAATAATATTTGGAACATAGTCTTGATGCGGTCCATTTTTTTACGTGATATTTATCATAAATACTTTTTTGTGACATTCCCCTTACGTAATCGCCAATAATTTTCTTTCTTAGCTCCAATCCAAGACTGTCGAGAGCCATTTTTGCACTTGAAGTCATAAAAATAATAAAAATAAATAATCACGCTTCTCAAGGCTTACCGTGTTACATTTACCTCTGTGGAACACAACGTCTTGGTTGGATGTGGACTGTATTGATGTAATGAAACACTTGTTGTATTTCACTTCTTGTATTGATGTTCTTTGATAAAACACTTTGATAAAACTCACTTCGATAAACTGTCTTGATAATACTGACTGATTGACTTCCATATACTGACTGAATTACATGTCGGTTTACATGTCTCTTATATAGTAAAATGAACTTGTGTGAACCTGTTCTGGATGATTCTAGATGCTTCTTTTCGATGCTTCTGGAAGCTTCTGGATGCGTCTGGATGCTTCTGATTGTTTCTGGATACTTTTGAATGCTTCCAGATGCTTCTTCTGGAAACTTCTGCATGCTTCTGGAAACTTCTGGATACTTCTTTTAATTATTAAAAAACTTCCGTGACGTTGACACAGACCAGATTTAAGAAAATGAAACAAACCAAAATAGTTGCTCTTGTTTTGTCTGCTGCAAAATGACACTTATCAACAAAATACTGCCTGTGTGCTGTCACCTGTCAGCTGATTGCTCATGTCATGGCATGCTATTACTCCAGACTCATGAACTGTTTGCTGTGGTAGTATAGTTTGTTTCGTTTTTCAGACATGTAAAATTAGGAACACTTTTTAGCATTGTTCGATGTTGGTTGCAAATGTTTTGTCCAATACTGTATATATATTGTACATGATTGAATAAATGAGTTTATTCAACCATGTACAATGATTGGGAGAAAAAAAAAGTGAATGCTATATTACATATATCATTCACTTATTCAATCATGTACAAAAAATGTCACTCATAAGTTGATATTTTTTGTACATTATTAACAAAAAATATTAACTTATGAGTCAGGAAGCTTCAAGACACATGTGAGCTATGTCTTATTCAGAAAGCAAATTAAAATTAGGTAAACTAACATAAGAATTATGTAAGCTGAAGTTTTTAATACACAGGATATGTGAATTATGTGATTGTAAATTGTTTGTGGAAATTTTGTTTGTGACATGATTTGGTAGAAAATCTGAAGTATGTGGAAGAAGATAGATTTACTAACATACTACTGGAACGCAGAAGTGTGTGAAACAGTAGAGGAAAAGAAAAGTGTTATAAATTGTGGGGAAAGTTTAAGAATGAAGAAGTCAAAAGAATTTTTTATGTCATTATCAAATCCCATAAAATTATTAATTTTATATGTTGTATTAATCAAACAACGTATAAGACCAAATTTGTAGCAAGAGTGAACAAAGCTAAAAAAAATTTGTAACAGACCTGTATAATTTTTTTTATGATAGACTGATTTCGAAAGGGAATTGGATTTTTTAATAAGTACATCGAAAAAGGCAACCTGGTTTTCTTGTTCTTTTTCTGTATTGCAAAGATGTTCTAATGAAATTAAGATTTACTACTAATTAAAATACAAAATAATTTTTGCTTATAAGATCCACTTCCAAAGATTTTTTTTTTTCAAATTGTAAAATGAATCTTTTGAATATGTAATGCAAAATTATAAATAATAATTTTACGAAAAATTTTTCAAGTACAGGTGGTTCTCATAATTTATCATTCATCTGTAATAGTTTGTTAGTTTTTATTAATGGCATTTTTTATAACTGTCATGGTTATGACCATCATTTCAAAAAATGTGTAACAGTTTTTTTTTTAATTTCAAATAAAAACTATTTAACTTATAAAATATATAAATACATACAGCAAATGATTTTTTTTTTCTACTAAGCATCAAGTCGTTGATGTATAAAGTCTGACAAAGTTGTTTTGTTGTCAAAATATGTAACAAATGTCACTCTACATCAAGTTTATAAAATAAACTAGAGAATTTAATATTTCAACTTTAGCATGCTAAATTATATGATAACATTTCTGGAAAGTTTTATGTCCAGAGCATTAAATTTTACATTTAAACAAATTTTATCTTTCTTATTTAAAATAAAAAAAATAGGCAACAAAAAGTAATAAAAGATATCTATAGTTAAATTCTATTTTTATAACAGAGAAAGACTATCAAATAATAGTGTTTCTCTTTTTATCTGCTTCTGCATTAAACCAAGGATATCACTTGTTTTGGTAACCTGAATACAGATTGAAATTTGTCAACAGTGGGCAATCTGTCTTGTTTTTCAGTTTTATCAAATTATCTTCAAAAATTCCTCCAGACTCACGCTTCCTGAGTTTGTCAATAATTTGGTGGAATTAAGACAACCTTTAAAATATCTCAATCCCAATTATGTTAAAAATGTTAGATACATAATACTAGATACATCGTGTGAAAGCTTTATATGTTAGATACATAATACTAGATACATCGTGTGAAAGCTTTATATGTTAGATACATAATACTAGATACATCGTGTGAAAGCTTTTTCTTTCTGGTGCTTTTTTTTACAGAAAATTTTTTTTCCTAATTTTATATTTAGTGAATAAAAGAATAAATTGAAAAAAACTTTTATTTTTCCATGAATTAATTGTTTAATTATTATAATAGTATAATAACTTTTATATTTATAACGAATATTAATAACTTTTATACTTCATATCTTCTAAACAAAAACTTTCTTTCACCATCTTGATCGTGATTCTTGATCAAGAAATTGTAAAGTCTTCAAACTTGTCTCTTGGCAATCTTTTATCTGATCATGTTTCTTAGATTCATCTTGTAAAAAAAGTTTTTAATTACAAGCAATAATGTTTGATATTGGTACAGATTAATATTGTTGGTTATATATTAGGTTTTGAAGAGTGTCTAATTCTGTTAGAAACTGTATATCTAAATAAAAATGTTAATGCAGTATTTAATAAATTTTTTAGTAACTTACAATTTAAAAATATATCAAGTATTAAAAAGCTTTATCTTATAATTTTGTTTTTTTATAATAATATTTTTACTAATATGAAATTATTAGAGAAATCAAAAAAAAAAAAAAAAAAAATTAGGAGTTGCACAAGGCAACTAAAAAAGTATATAATATTAGATGTGATAAAAACTTTTTCAAAAAAATTATCAATTTTTATGACTTTCATTACCACCTAACTTTAATTTTAAAGAGGTAGGAGAAACTTAAATTGCTTGTTTAGATGAGCACTCTAACATCACATTAAAATTTCCTGCTGCTGGGGCCTCAGTACATACATCGACTGACAAATAGCCTGACTCACAGCGGAGTGCTGCTACATCGACTGATGGTTTGGCATAGGGCAGCTATCTTTTCTTTCATTATTCTTTGTTTTTTTTTCTTCTTTTTCTGAAAACGCTGTATGCTATAAAGATTAACAAAACTAGCTGAACAAATATAAACTTATATAAACTCGCTATAGAACATGATGGAGAAACAAAATGTTGAAGACAAAAATTAGATATATGTTTTTACTAATTTATTATTGCTCTGTTCTTTAAGAACATTAAGCATCCCATTTATAGAAGACACTGACATAAATTATATATATATATATATATATATATATATATATATATATATATATATATATATATATATATATATATATATATGTATATATATATATATATATATATATATATGTATATATATATATATATATATATTATATATATTATATATATATATATATATATATATATATATATATATATATATATATATATATATATAATAACTAACATAACACTAACATAATTTATATATATATATATCATGCAATAGTGGTGTAGTGGTAGAACCCTCACATCATAAGCAAGCAGTTCCAAGTTTGATTCCCAACCACGTCCCTGGTAGTACCACTTTCAACAGGTTCGTGTTTTGGAGCTATAAAGTTGAGAGATGGTTGTAACCACAAAAAAAAAGCAGCCTCCTCAACTGTAGTGGTCTTCTCAGTCTTGGGGTGGTGAATAATTAAAAAATATATATATTAAATTTGCTTGTTTATTTAGCCAGTTATTACAAGTGAACACATTACTTCAGAAAAATTTTTTGAGAACCAGTTTACACCTGACAAGCAACAAGACTTTCAAAAACTTTTAGAAGGTTCCAGATTTTTTGCAGATTATCAAACAAGCGAAAGTTGGAAAGACAGGTTTTAAGCTTTGTCTTGTTCTTTTTTTTTTATTCTTTCTTTCAAATTTTTTAAAATTAGTATCAAAGTTTTTATCGAAAATATTTTTAATATTTAACTCAAGGCCAGTCAGTTCTATGTCTTTTGTAACACATAAACAAGATCAGCAGAAGTTTTTTGAGGTATGTTTTTCTGAGGTTTCCAGGGTATTCATTTTATAAGTTATAAGTTTAATGGTTTTAATATCATTGACGTTATCTTAACATTAAAAATATAAATAGAAAAATTAACAAAATTTCTTTTTTAATATCTTTTGGCATTTTATTATCAAAAAATTGTGAAAAATATTTGTTTTATTTTATTTATTTTTCTAAGTAATTTGTTGTTGTTGTTTTTTTTTTAATCTTTTGAGTATTTAAATCGTAATAGAATTACAACTTTTAAAAGTTAAAGTTTTTGGTTATAATTAAACTATTAAAATTAATAATTGATAAATATAAAGTATATTTTACAACAGAAAATTTGAAATTTATCATGGTTTATCTAGTATTTTGATGGCATTAAAGCCCATTCAGATGTCACAATTCTTGAATTTTAATTTTTCAAATTTTTGTTTGTTTAATCAATACATTCAATCATTTAATTAGCGACCATTACAATCTACATTCTAATTAAATTAATTATTTCTTGCATAAGTTGTTGAAAATAAAATATTTCTTGCACAAACTGTTGAAAAGTGTACTAAAATTACAAAAGTACAATAAATAAAATGAAGAAAATTCAAAAAAGAAAATAAATTGAGACAAAAATTGTAATCAATTTTTTAAATGGCTTTATATTTATAATCAATGGTTGTTGTTTTGTTTTTTTGTAGAAAAAAAGGTGCCAGAACTCATCTGTATTTTTCTTTGTATAAAAAATAGCGTAAATATTTTTAAATAAATTTTGTAATAGGAATTTTATAATACAAAATGTAAAACTATAATCTAACTTTTACAACAATTTTTTAACAAGTTTTTTTTAATTTTTATCTGACAAACCATATCATCAAATCATCGTCATTAATGATCAATTTTGATCAACATAAAAGATTAGTTATTTTTGTCAGCAGAATACATCCAACCGCTATCTATATTAAAAACTTATATAAAAACTTTTTTTAATTTAGCGATATTGAAACAAATAATAATTGAATAATAAGATAAAGGTTGAAAGTAGTTTGTGTAATTTATAGGTTTTGTCACAAAATTCAAATTAGGTTTGATCATATAGGGTGTGTCACAATATACAAATTAAGTTTGATCATATAGGGTGTGTCACAAAACACAAATTAGGTTTGATATATAGATCTAGATCATATAGAAAGTAAAGTTGCCAATGATTTGGTATCAGCAGAGTTTTAGGAGAGAAAAGTAGTTAAAATAAATAAAAAGAGTATAATACAGATAAGAGTATAATACAGATAATGAGAGAAAAATTGTATATTATTTTTATAACAAAAAATAAGAGATTTATTAGTACCAACTAATTTTGTAAATGATATGAGGTTAGATAGAACTGTAGGGTGGGCACCACCCATTAAAAAAGTACAAAATTTAACTCTTAGCTCCATGCTTGAACGCTGCTTATGCTAAATACCGAAAAACTTTAAGCAACTGAAAAAGGTAAAAAGGTATAACTTTGTTGTTTTTTAAATAGTGCACCGTGATATTTAGTTTTATTACAACTAGATATATTCATTTATGTAACAATTACAATATTAGATGCCTTATTGTCTCTATGTAGACTTAGTGTAAGAATTACAATGTTAGATGTCTTATGTTTCTAGGTAGACTTAGTGTAAGAATATTAGATGTCTTATGTTTTTAGGTAGACTTAGTGTAAGAATGTTGATGTCTTATGTTTCTAGGTAGACTTAATGTAAGAATGTTAGATGTCTTATGTTTCTAGGTAGACTTAATGAAAAAATTAACAATAACAGAGAGACTTAATTTTACAATTACAATATTAGTAGCCTTAGTGTCTATAAGTTGAATTAATTTAATTCAGGAAGAAAAACGTTCTTTTAACACTCTTGTAATGGCAGTCTTATAATTTTCCAAAAAAAAAAAAAACACTTTAAGCTTGTGCTTGACAAAAAGAGTTAATGATTAAAATTTTTAATCTAATTAAATTTTTTAAAGACATTTGATAGATTTTACTAGTTTTATTGTCTTAGGAATAATATAGTGATGATTATATCATCAGCAGCTTGTTATTCGCGTTTTAATTAGATAGTTCTATTGTGTTCTCTTTTTAATAGCTTTTTTATATATATATGTTAAGCCTGCTCCTGATCCTTGGCCGTTGCAAAGTGAGAATAAAAGTCTTGCATCATTTCATATTAACAATACGCAATATATTCAAAGTCGTAGCATTGAGTCTTTGCAGTTGCCTCCTAATCCTACAGGACCATATATGCGTCAAAATAGGGAGCAACTTCTTGCAAAACAACAAATATTAGAGCAGTACGCGCGTCAACAAAAGCGTCAGCAAATTCAACATCAACAAACTTCTTCTTTAAATCAATACCAATCAGCTCAAAAAAAACTATTTTTGCAACAACAGATACTACAGCAGCAACATAACAGTATTCGAAATATTGATCGTGTAGCTTCTGTCCCTCCTGGTTATAATGAACGTATTTCTGCCAGTTCCAATCAACGTTACGATTTTGATAGACTTTTATCTCAACGTGTTATGAGTCAGCAAAAGAATTCGTTTAATCTCGGGTCGCATCAATCTCGTTCAGTAAGTGACATTCGTACAGAGAACAATTTATTTCCTGCAACTTTTAGCAGTGGTTTTGGTGATTGGAGATTTCCTATTAACGAACAGTTAGACGAAAATTCAATTAGATACTGATAATATCTGATAAATATTTAATACTTGTCATAATGACTAAATGTCATCTTAATAAAAAAATGAAATATTACTGTCATTAGCAGTGACGTACCAGGTATATATAAAAAGCCATTTGTTTTGTAAGAATAAATTTAATTTTTAAAAGCTCCCTAAAAAAAGGCCAACTGGGGTATTTGAACCAGCTCCTTGCTCTACTTAAAGGGGCTATAAGCATCATGCTGATTTTGGAACGTTACTGCCTTTGATGATAACAGTTTTTTTTATTTTTTCAATCTTGTTTAACAATTGCTGGTGATATGAGTTATTAAAAAGTTTTTATTTTTATTTTTGTAGATATTTGTGTTTTAGTTTTCTGATCTTTAACCTCGTAGTGATTTTAAAAATCGTATTCTTTTATCTTCAAAATGAGCCCTTTTTTAGAATTTTGTTTGGAAATCGACAAACCTTTTTATTTTTACAACTACATCCTGTATACATATATCGGATTATTTTATTTTGTAAAAGTTTAGTTATAAACTAAAAGTTTTTAAAATATAACTTTTTTATGATCTTTACTATCTGGCTTATCGTTGTTTATATAACAGCGCTATGAATACGTCACTTAAAATTTCCCTTTGTTTGAAAGTTGTCATCTCTAATAATTCAAAATAAATAATTTATCGTAATACAGATGGAAGCACCCCAAAAACGACACGGTCATTTTAAAACCTTATAAGAAACGTTTGTTTAAAACGAATGATTCAACGTTATTTTTAAACGAATGATTCAACGTTTTTTTTTTTAAACGAATGATTCAACGTTTTTTTTAAACGAATGATTCAACATTTTATTTTTAAACGAATGATTCAACTTTTTTTTTAAAACGAATAATTTATATATATAACAGCAATTTTAAAAAAAAGTAACGATCAAAGACATTTTTTTACAACAGTTTCAAATTTAAAAAAATTCGACGGAAAATTTGCAGCGAAATAGTGGTCTTTTAGACTAAGTTTGTGATTCCAGTCTAGTTTACATATCTTTTATATGCTTTTTTCATAAATCAAACCATTTTTTCTTTAGTAAAAGTGAAACTCGTAAAAAAAAAAATGAGAACGATACAATTTAACACGTGGTTCTTGGGGTACAGTTAAGAAAAAGTTTCTAGATTAATCTTTTACACTAGTTTTAAAATAAATAGTTAATTGAATAAAAATGATTTTCATTATCACAATAATTTTTTTACAACAGATTTATTTATAGTCAGTTCATTGTTTGCTGTCATTGATCCATGTACTTGGGTAACACGTGGTTTTCATTTTATACGATATTTCTTTCAGTTGGATACTTTTTTAATGAAGTTCATCTATCAATTCCATTGTTTGTTCGAATTTTAATTCTATTAATTTGCTGAACCACGTTTTTTATCGTTAGAACTTTTTTTGTGTGTAGCCTGGGAACAAAAAAAACCTTTAAATTTTATAACAACTTCTCCCCCCCCCCCCTCTTTTCCTGCCCCAAACAGGAGAGCAACAAGTTGATAAAATATTTTTTGCACTATTCTTAATTAGACTTAGATTCATCGATAAATTTTAGTTTTCATAGTATAATATTTCAGCGTTCAAAAAACTATATAAAGTTTGAACCCCTTAATATGAGGAGGCTCAATCTCGTGCTAAATAATTTCTATTAATTTTTCAACTATCAATTTTTAAAAACTTTTTTTTTAACGAATGTAGTCAGAGTAAGAGTATTAAATTTAAAATGATTAAAAGAAACCACTCGCGTAACTCGCGTAACTAACTCGCGTAAACAAACTATTTCTAGAAAGTCTAATGGCAACCCCTGGCATATTGTCAGGCAACTACTGTTGGGGTTGCGACCCACAGTTTTTCGGAACGCTGATATAAATGGTTGCATGTCATTTCCCTTGAACAAATTAGTGCACGGTTGATACTTTTTCTTATTCTTTGGTTATAAGATTGCTATGTTTAGCTTTTAAAAAAAGCAAAAATGATCGATTCGATTTAAAAAATAGGACTTTTACAGAAGAATCCGATTACCATTTTTACATATTTTCATTTTTCATTGTAATTTCAATGATTTTAATTAAACTTTTTCTATACTAGAGCAGCATCAGCATTAAATCTTCTAAAATTTTCTTCCAACTTTCATCTTTGTGTGATCTTAACACGTAGCACCTTAAAAAATTAAGCTGTTCTGAACAAAAATTGTTCATTTTATAATCTTGCTATATTTTCTTGCTAATTTATAATGAATAATTATTAATCATAATACATTAGCAAAACTTCGAAAACCAAAACTACCAGGAAGAACCTCATTTAAGCTAATCATTCAAAACCAATTTTAAATAGTTTAAATACGGATGGTTGGACCCCATTTTAAGATTACCGTGAACTTTACTCAGAAATGTATCGATTAGAAGTAGCCATTTTGGGGAAATTTTCTATATAAAATATAATAGCATACACTCTAAATTTTCGCCAAATATAAAAAAACAAAAAAACGTTTAACAAGACTACTTAATCCTCAACTTTAAATCGTTTAGAAAAAAGAAAAAAACCATTAAAAAGAAAAAATGATAATGATAATGATTAAATTGAATTAAATATGATTAAATTGAATTTCTTCTTCATCAATCTCAATTAATTTCTCATCTAAAAATGCCTTTAGTTATCATAATCTGGACATTTGGCATATCTATGAACCATGCATTCATTATTGCTTGTATCACATAATAATTTTGACATTAAATCTTTTTATGTAACATTCCATTGGACAGCATTTACAAGCATAATTAAGTTTTGATGGTGAATACAAACACATACAGAGTGTGTACC